ACCTCACTATTGCGGTTCTTCCAAATTTGCAAACCAATACATGCACCATTGTTCTTCAAATTGAAAATCAAAGTGTATATAATATTATAATAAATTGAGAACCTCAATTTTTCACTTCTTAGCTCGGAGTTGGTTCTCCCAAATTAGAGACCCAAATCAGTGGTTTTTTTTTTTTTTGAGGTTTTTTGCAATTTTTTATGAATATATTTAGAAAGCATCGGGTTTTTTTATACGTGTGAAGGGTTAAAAAGGTATTTTGCATACCATGTCAGTCGTTTCTTAACTTCATTAGCGCCATCTAAGCTACCGTTAGCACCAAGGCAGCACCTAATTAACAGCAGTTGACCAAGGGACCACGCCTGGTTTCTTAACTCCATTTGCGCCATCTAAGCTATCGTTATGTATTCTTTTTTGGTACAAAGATGTTAATGGACCTTTCTGATAAGTTTAGGAATTTTTAATGACTTTAAGCTTATGCGATTCACTTAATTTTTCTATTAATTTTTCGTATGTTAATTTTTTATGAAATATAAAAAATAATAATTTAATAAAATTTTAATAGAAATTATTAAATTTTTATAACTTTTTATTTACCACATTTTAAACATTTTTTCAATTAAAAATTTTCAAATAAAATTGTGCTCTAACTTAACATCCCTTTAAGGTAAAAGTCTAGTTTTAGCCTTTTATCTTACTAAATTTGTAAGTTTTAACCATTCACCTTATATTATAATACTTTTAACCTCTTACTTTATATTATGGCACTTTTAACCCTTCACCTATTAGAATTAAAGAAAATAACTCTCATTTATAACATTTTTAGTGTTCTGTTAATTGACTGTTAACTTTATTAATTGATTATTAGTTGACTGTTAGTTGGCAAAAATCTAATTTCAGCTAACAGAATAGTTCTATTAAGTGACTGTTAACTCTATTAGTTGACTGTTAGCTAATTGTTAGCTGGTAAAAATCTATTTTCAGCTAATAGAATTAATAATCAGTTAACAGAATTAACAATCAACTAACAGAGTTAACAATCAGTTAACAAAACTAACAAAATATTATAAAATAAAAGTTATTTTCTTCAATTCTAATAGATGAGAGGCTAAAAGTGTTATGTAAGATGAATGGTTAAAACTTACGAATCTAGGTAAATGGCCAAAGTAATTTTTTGCTTACCTTTAAGGGTATGTTTGGTTGAAATTTCTTTCATAAAAAGAATCTTCGAAAGTCAACTAAAAATTAAGTTGACTTGGCTCAAAAAATTAAAATTTTTGACACAAAAATTGAAGTAAGATATAATTGATTATAATAAAATATAAATGATTATATTAAAACTTTCTTATAAAACTTTCAAAGGAAAGTTTTTAATAGCAAAATGAGGTATATCAATTATATTTTAAAAATAATTGATTATATTTTTATAATCAATTATATACTTTTTATAATCAACTATATATTTAATATAATTATTTATATTTTATTTCAATTTCCATATTAAAAACTTTA